GAAACAATCTCCCCCAAATGTCCTGGACGTCCCTGGAAGCCAGTTAATGGAATGAATCCAGTGGAAACAAAAGAATTTTATGATTTCAATCTCTCTGATGCTCTTTATTAATTTATGCAGCCATGGGTATTTCTTTAACACTTCATCATTCCCTCTCCCCATTGTTCAAACACAAATATCCTGACATAATGCACCAAAACCCTTGAAGCTTCAGAACAGACAACAGAAGTGGTGAGACTCCCAATGGGGACACCATCAATCTCTCTGGACTACGTAGAAGTGTGGCAGAATCCTTTCTGAGTCTTCCTCATAAGTTTTCTAAACTAGCACACAAAATGGACAAACTAATGTGCCGTATGGCCTACTGCAATTTGCTTTTCTGATAACGAATGTGTACTTAAAACGTTATGTCATCAATTTTCATACAAGACACTTGACATTCTGAGTAAACTGTGGCACCTGGTCCTTGGATGCATGTGAAAATAAGGGAAGTCAAGAGACTGAATGCTGAACTTATTAATGGGGTAAAAAAAAAATAATAATAAAAACTTCCAGAAGCCAAAGAGGGATAACAAGAAAGTAAGGTTGGCCAAAAGGAGAAAAGGAAGAAGTAAATTAATTGACTTTCTGTTTCTAAAATGGGCTAGTTATATCAAGTAGGTACTCCCAGTTGACAAAGCTATTCTGATAAATTCCCTTTCTGCATAAGAGTCTTTCTCATAAGTCAGTAATTTCTGTTTACTCATTAACTACTCTCCGCAACATGGCTTTTAAATAGGAGTTTTCTGTTTATTTTTTGCCAACATTAAAAGTTCTGAGTTTAATGATAAGGATGGAAAGCAGAAGAGGTAACAAAGAATCAGGTTTGTGCTTAGAGAAAATTGTGTTAAGTGAAATAAGCCAGGCACAGAAAGAGAAATACTACATGTCCTCACTTATAAGTAGGAGCTATGAAAGAAAGAAAGAACAGACGATCACAATAATGCATTGAACTTTCAGAAGGAGAGAATAGAACTGTGGTTACTAGAGGTGGAGAAGGGGAGGGTGGTCAGCAAGAAATTAGTTAATGGGCACAAAAAATGATTACATATCATAATGATGAATATGCTCATTATCCTGATTTGATCATCACATATTGTATGCAAGTATTGATAGTCAACTCTGTACCCCAGAAATATGTGTTATCGATTATGTTTCAATAAAAAAAAAAGTAGGCTTGCTGGGGAAGACATTTTTTATAATTGACAAGGGAGAATTATGGGATGTGATATTCTATTTTGTTCAGATATTCTATTAGGAAATTCCTTTCTAGCCTCACTTTATAATCTCATCATCTTTTTGCTATGACATTGAAGACCATTGACTTTTGCAAAACAGAATAATATGATTGTCTTTCATTGAATTATAGTGCAAGGAAGGCTTACATTTCATAACCCATGCTGTATTTTTGCCTAGAAAAACAAGATGTGGCTTTAAACAGCTACACTGACGTGTGGATGTATATATCACTGCTACTTCAACTTACTGGATGTATTTGAGCCTTTAAGCTTTTATTTCATTTCAAATATTGTCTGTACTTAAATAAAGAATCAATGATGTCAGGAAAAAATCTTACCTTGTCAACTGGTTGCTTCACTTTTCTTTTAATTGAACAATAACATCAGACTAACAGAGTTTTACTGTACTTTCAGAGACACCTAAGGTTCTGCGAGTTCAAGGGCCGACCCCCAAAGGCAGGGGCAGAGCCAGCATCTGCAAGTGAGGTCTCATGACCAGTGGGTGAAATCTTCACACCTGGCACAATAGCCCCAACGCCTTCCACCAGCAACTTTGAGTGGAAGGACAAGAAGAAAGATGGGATAGAATAAAAATACAGAAGAATGTCATTTTATCACTCTGTTCCTGGGTGAAATAAAGTTCAGTCCTGATGGTCTCACACCTGGTTAATTCACAGTGGTATCCTACTAGCCACACCCATGCTGCAGCAAATTTCCAACTGGTTGGAGGGCCAGGGCTGTGGCTCTGCCAAGGAGGTTCATAACCCAACCCTGGAACACTCTGTGTAGCCAAGGCAGGAGTCCCTTAGGTGGGACTTCCTTACCACCAAGGCCTCATCATCAGTGCTAACTGAAGGGTTAATGGTGGGCCAGCCCATCTCTCACTTGGGAGAGTGTGGTGCTGATAACACCAAGGCCACGGTTTCAGATCCTTATATAGGGATGGCCGGTTAGCTCACTTGGGAGAGCGTGGTGCTAACAACACCAAGTCAAGGGTTAAGGTCCCCTTACCAGTTATCTTTTAAAAAATAAATAAATAAATGAAGGGTTAATGGGTCAAGTTTCTATCAGTAATCTAAGGACTCTCTCTCTACCTTCCCTTCCTCACCTTTTCCCTGATTCCCAGGCCAAAGTTAAGAGTAATCTGGCTTGTTTATCGTTTTTTATGATCCAGATAATTACCAAAAAAGAAAAATATATTTTTTGTTAATATGATGTCTTCCAACCTCTCATTATCAGAAAATGTCTAACTTCCAAAAAGTTTAAAGAAAATTTGAAATTATCGTTCTGATCTGGGTAAAGGAGAAAATATAAAACCAAAAAACTAAAACCAAAGACCAAAAAAGGAATAGAGATTTTAAATTTCCTATGATAAAAACATTTATTGAATGCCTATTTTAGCCATTTACTATGCTAGACAATTTACTTTTGGTGTGTAACTTAATCCTCCCAGCCACTCTGAGGTCCCTGTGATCATCTTTATTTTACAATAAGGAAACTGTAGCTCATAGGGCCCTGCCCAGGGTCACACAGTTAATAAGTGATAGAGCTAGCATTCAAACTCAGACCTTTTGAATTCTATTACAGCATGTCATCTTGAGGCTTTATCTTAATTTTTTTTTTGGCAGCTGTTTGGTACAGAGATCGAACCCTGGATCTTGGTGTTATCGGCACCATGCTCTAACCAACTGAGCTAACTGGCCAGCCCGAGGCTTTATCATCACTTTTGTCACTATAAAAAACACACCATATAATTTCTGACTCTAGGATGATCATTATCTCAATCAAAAAAATCATTAAATATCTCATTGTGGCTGGTGGTGTTCTGAGTACTGTTCAGGGTAAACTATAACTGAGTCAAGCAGCAGGCACTGACTTTTTTGCCATATGCGTAGCTCTAGGTCTTGAGAAGAGATGTGGAGTTTTAAAGACAGATTTTTTCCCTCAAAGAGTTTACAATCCCGTTGGAAAGTCAAGACAAAAGCATATGGAACAGAGACAATCCAAGCCATGATCATTTGGGGAGCAGTGATCAGGCCTGACCAATGAGAGAAGATGTTGAAGAGGTGGAGGGACCAACTTAGAAAGGCGGAATGAAGCCCAATTGGGAGTTTAGATTGAAGTAGGCAATAGAGTCCCTTTTACAGTTCTTGACAAGCTCAAAGAGTGTTTAAGACAGATAATTCTGAAGGTTCTGGGTAGTTCGGATCAGAGCGAGAAGAGACTGGCGTCAGGGGGCTGTTCCAGGTATGTCCAGGCTGTCAGTTTTTAATAGAAGAATAACCACTCAGGCGTGGTATATAAAGCCTATAGTTCTCACTTCATTCAACAGCATGAAGTATTTCCACTTCAAGCCTTTGTTAGATAATGTAAACATGAGTTTCCTGTGACCCAGAACCAACCTCTCTCACTTTTCATCTTGCTCTCCTCCTCACCCCCACACTTTTTAAATATCTGCACCCTCCCCACTTCCCAAGCCAAAGACACACCCCAGGTGTGTGACCTTGGCTCTGGAACCACACAGCTCCATTCATTTATGCTTCTTTTCAGTGCAGGAAGTTTCTCTTGTCCAGTCCAACCCACATTCCTCACATTGTCTAGGCCTAGCTCCTCAAGCAGGAGGCTTTTACTGGCTTTTTACGCCACCCTCTATTTCCTGCTTCTAAAGCCTGGATCCAAAAGATTTGCTCACAGGAGGACACACGTGTGTTGGTCTCATCTCAGTCTGTCCCTCGCTCCATGCTCCCCCTCTGCTGTTGCTCTACACCTTGTGGGAGAGGCCAGACCTCCCACAGGTCCAATGAGGAGACTTGAGAGGATCTGGTAGATAAGCTAACAAACCACTCTCCCAGAAGCCCCAGTGCCTCTCCCTATGAGTGCTCCATGCTCCCCCTCTGCTGTTGCTCTACACCTTGTGGGAGAGGCCAGACCTCCCACAGGTCCAATGAGGAGACTTGAGGGGATCTGGTAGATAAGCTAACAAACCACTCTCCCAGAAGCCCCAGTGCCTCTCCCTATGAGTTACATGATCAGAAAGCAAAATATCATCTCAACATCTTGCAAAATTACTTTTGTTAAATTATTTAACTTTACCCTTCGGCCCTTATTTTACAAGAATCTTCATTTGAATTACATTCTGTCTTTTGCAAAACTTTATTTGGAAGTATTACCCAGTGTATTCACATTCAAGGCAGTACGGTGAGGTGGTTAAGAACCAGGGTTCTGTAGTTAGCCTGAATACAAGGGCTGTCAATTTATTAAACTTCTCAAAGCCCCTGTTTCCTCATCAGAATTATTAGGTTAATAATATACTTATGTCACAGGTGTATTTTGAGAATCAAAAGAGATAAATTCCTGTAATTGACATAATGCTTAACACATGGTAAGCAATCAAAGGGTAGCTATTATTACATTATTAGGACATATACAATATATTACTTTTAGAGTTTAGCTCTGGGAAAAAAATGTTTTGTCAGACAATGAGATGTGTTTAACAGCCCTTTATGCCTGTGCAACTATACTCAGTATTCAAATGTTATAATCAGCTCATATCAAATGGCTAGTAATGTTTACACCCTCATTTCCACTTCCTCAGGTTCTCAACCTTGGCCACATACTAGAATAACCTAGGGAGCTCCGGATCATTTGAATCCAAATCTCCAGGAGTATTCCTGGGCATCAGTATTTTTCAAATGTTCTCTTTTGATTCTAATGCATCCAAGAATGATAACAATTGCAATCATCCAGTTTTACATTGTTTTATTTGGTTAACCTTTTCAAATATTTTTGAAAATAGGAGCGATATGAGACTCATGAGAGATGGACAGAAGGAAGGAAAGAAGGAAAAAAAGGGTGGATGGGTGAATGGATGGATGGATGACTACACGTATTATATGCACCAGGATTGTCACAATATGAATAGAGAGTACAAATAGGTATAAATGGCATTTCAAAGACATAAACAAATTATTTCCTGAGCATGAAGAATAAAGGACAGTAATAAATCAAAGATGACAAAAAAGTTTTCCAGTCTAGGTGCCTAAGAAAATTGCACAAGCAAAGAAACCGGGAGTTCATCTGTGTTTTCTAGTAGTTCTTAAAAAAACTGATGGACCTAAAATGCACATAATTTAAAACATTTCAATAGCTGAATAAACATATGAAATCAATATACAAGTGGAGTATAAAACACTATAGCTCAAACTGATCAGAGTCAAATGATCAGAGTACTCTGATATCTATAGCATCTGCTATACAAACAGGGTAGTATCTTAGATACACATGGAGTAGGCTTGTGGAAAATACGATGAAATTGCAATTATAAGACTCCTTATTATATCAAAAAGAATAGAAAGTAATTCATTATTCTCTGAAAGTTATTTTCTATTTCTACTACTGAATTAGAACTATGACTCTAGCAAAAGACTTTGGTTATAACAGCTTTTATTTCTCCATATGGCAATTGTGTATAGAATAGTGTTATTTCCACTGAGTGTGGAAATAACTATTTGATATATCCATTAAAATGGATAAAATAGTAGCTCTTGGAAAAAATACATAAGTACCAGCTTTTCAGGTAAGTAATATTTTTTATATTACTTTTTATTGAAGTGCATTGATTATATATATTTGTGGGCATAGAGTTATATTTCAATGCATGTATACAATGTACAATGATCAAATCAGGGTAATTATCATATTTATAATTACAAAACTTAATCATATATTTGTGATGAGGACATTCGGTCTCCTCTCTTCTAGCCATTTGATAACATACAGTCGACTATTTTGAAGTATCAGTGCCTAGCTTGACTGTATACCAACAGAACTTATTTTTCCTCTCTAGCTGTTTTGTGTCCATTAATCAACCTCTCACTAATTCGCCACCTCTTTCCCTTTTCCTGCCTCTAGAAACCACAGTTCTGCTCCCTGCTTAGGTAAGTAGCATTTACCAGCTGAGTGATTTTTGTACTGTGCTGACTTAGCTAAGCAGAAATTATATTTTCAGGAAGCCCCTTTCCTATATGGTTCTGGGTTAGAATTATCCAAAAGAGAAATCTGTGTGAGGCTTAGAAGATGAACCCAAGCAGCAGCCACTACTCTCTGAAAGGCATCAGGGTGAGAAGCAATGAGAGGTGGATGCAGAGATGCTGAAGAGCTCCAGCATGTCCTCGCTCTGCCCTGCTTTGCGTGCAGCCAGGAAAATCTAGAACTGAGGCAGTTCAGATTTAAATATTCATTAAATGTTGAAATTCACTATTAATTTTCCTCTAAGGTTCCTGATATATGTATGCTTTCTTTTTATATTGCATATTTTAACATTTAGTGTGGAAAATTTAGAAAATACAGAATAACGTAAAGAAGAAAATTAAAATATTGCAACCTCACCAGCCAATGGAAACTACTGTTGAAATTTTGGTTATGACTTTCTAGAAATGTTTTCTTCAAATGTCTGTATGTATGTGTATTCCAAAACTGGAATTATGCTATAAATACAATATGTAGTCTTTATTTTTCACTCAATATATATCATGATCTTTTTTTAAGTCTTTAGATTTGATTTCCATAAAGTCTTTTATAATTATAATAAATATGTGAACACCATTTAATAACGATACAATGCTGGAAAGCTGCAGTGGGTAAGAAAATTTAATAAATATG